TTAGTAAAAAGAAATTATGAAGAACCAACATACCAAACTTGGTAATTCTTCGGTGTCTGCATGATTACGTCATCCAGATATTTCAGCTCTTTTGTTAGATCTACTTGCAATTTCTTCAGCAATTCTCGACGGAACTGCCTAGAGAAAAACTATAGGCTCCCGTACGAAACATACAGGAACAAATATTGATTTTTCCCTTCCTATAAACCCCAAAAGGTCAACGTCTAACCAAAGCGTGTAGTTGGCAGGATTCAGTTGAATACAGTCTTCCGTTAGCATGAACACTCTAGACGACATCTCACCGGAGGCAAGAACAGCACGGAGGTAAGCGAATGCATCTCTGACTGAAACGCAAATTAGTTCCATTGAAATTCTAAAAATATTTGTTCGGTGCCTTTCAATGCAGCGTAAAACTTACACTGTTCAGTTACTGCTATGCGAACAACTCCGTCTTCTTCCTTGGACGGATAGATTGGCGTTACATCGGCCCAATCAGGGTTATCTCGATAAAAAGGCGAGGAACATACTTCACCACTGTTCTCCATACCTGTGGGATTACAAGAATAAGAAAAATAACTTTGACTCACATAGCGGAGACGTAGACAGGAGGACACAATAATTTGAAAATTTGAAAAAAAGGCAAACTCATCGATCCACCCACAGTAACATGATATCGAGGGATATGCGGTTTTCAGCAGACAACGGACCGTGGGGAAGGAATCTGGGCAATATGCTCATTCTGCTGATGAGGATATGTTCGTTCCCACAAGAAGTGAGCGCAGGTGTCGGTTTAAAGCCAATTCCCCCAACTAGTTACGCTACAAATCCACTATGAACCTACTTGAAAGCAATATGGAAACTAACTGGCTGACTTTGAATACAAATTGATTTAATCGGGATGGGAACTAGGAGGAACTTCGTCGACCTCTTAACAACAAGGACCTTCTATACACTGAGCCTGGCTATTTACTAACATCAAATGTGTAAAGATAAGTACAGCAATCAGTGATCATTCTGGAAAGTATCATGTAAAACCTACCTAGACGTAATCGCGACAGCGAAAGAATATCATCGAAGAGCTTGCTAGCCCAAAGCCAAGAGTCCCAAGAAGTCGGAATCAGGATAAAAGTAACTTGTAAGAGTTATTTGCCTTAGCAAATCAATCGTTTGCTTTCCCTTCTCAGCCTATCCCAAGCCCTTTTTTCAAAAGTAGAGCTATTTCACTGAAAAAGTCGCGCGTCCCGATGCTAAGGTTGATGCTGGGATGGCTCAGTCACCAAAACCCCCGCATGATAGCCTAGCAGGTAATTGTAACTCACGGGTTTCGGCGATATTATTCGCCAAAAACTAGAAAAAATAATTTCAGTTGGATGGCTTCCCCACTACTTGGATTGCAGGGGACCGCTTTCATTGATGGATGATACAGGAGTTATGGGCGCACCAACCGCACCCTACTAAAATACAAACTGTTGGGTGACCCATCTTGTAAACAAAACAGTTTTTTCCGTCTGGTCACTCACGTCGAGAGAATTTGTGTACGGCATTAGCGTAGTAACCCCACGAATTTGGTGTTGGTACTCTATTCGTCTGCTGCCTTGCCCAGGTCAGAGACGAAGAGGAGGGGAATTCGTGTCGTGGGCCGATCCCGATCTGCCACGGTACTTCACAGATTTCTCCTTGTACCTACGAGGACCAGAACTTGAACATGCCCGTGATCCATTCTCGTGCACTCTTTCCCATGTGCGACGTCCTCGGCCCACCTCAAATCGTCGATGATACGTGGGCGTTTCCTCAGACATCCATTTCTTGTTAGTGTTGCTTATCCCATTCACGACCGCGTGGCCGCCGGCGAGCCACCCCACGTCGTGCTCCCGTAGTGTTTATATTATTTATCAAGCGTTCTTATGATTTTTTCATGTTTCAAATATCAGCTGAGCTCACAGCCTCCCAGAGAACCTTGAGGCATTGTGGTCCAGGAATCATTCATTTCCAATATAGTTGTAGAAGGGAAAAGTCAATGTAATGCCAGTATGAAAGGCGCGGTCGCCAATGGGTTAACATGCTTATAGATTCATTCCCAGCTGTTTGAGCTGCTGTCTATCATCAGCCCCTGCTCAAGTTCATTGGTCGAGGCCCAGGACCCATACCATTTTTCAGCTGTTTTGAGCGGCTCTTGACACCCACGAGAAGCTGTGCAGAAGCGACGCTAAGCTGGCCACCTGTTTTCGTTCTCAGTTAAGAATTCGGACAGGAACGAAAATTCAGTCCGGCACTCGGTTCTTACAGTAATCCGGCACGTGTTAATACGCATATTTTTACCCGTCACATATATGACGCGTCGAAAAGGGGCTTTGGGCAAGGAGCCGGGGGTGGGTGGTGAGGTAAGCCAGGGGGTTACTGTAAGAGCCGAGTGCCGGACTGAATTTTCATTTTAGTGAATCCGGAACGTATTCTGATGGCCATACGTGGCTCGTATTAGATGTCTGCTTTTCCCTACTTGATCTAGTTGGCTGTGTTTAATAAGACCATTTCGGGATATGATATGCAAGCACAAATCCCTGTGACTGACACTGACAGCGATGAAACCACTTGTTCACCATTGAAATCCGTTTGAAAGGTGAAATTCGTTGTGTTCTGTTTCCTTGATATGATAATGCATTCTCGTTCTCCTCTTTCTTTGTTGTATGGTACTTTGTTGAATCGAGATGACGTGTGCCGAAACCGAAAATGTTCTTGCTTATACTTTGAAAATAGTTTTTTCAGGTAGATAGAGATTCCTCCCCTCCAAAATGGACTTATTACCTCACTTCACTATAGAAGAGGAGCTAAGGACAATGGGATCTGAGCAGCTCAGTAAGTTTCTTGCTTGCATTTTTCAGGGTTTAATTGGTAGAAGCATTTGGATTTATTATTCTAAGCTGAGTAGTTTACAAGCTCTATTTTTTTGCTCGATAATGGGCACTTGTTTGCCCGTTAGAGCATTGTAACTCCCGAATCTCTCAGCAGCTCCTTATTTGAAGGGGCTAGTGGAATTGTCATACATGCCATTATCTCTTCTAATTGTGTGGGCACATCAAGATTTGCGTGTTACATGAAGGATTAATACTAGAAATATGGAGGTGAATCAATCGTTAGACCCAGTTCCCTAATAAATTCATTGGAATCGGTTTTTTCTCTCGATATCTCTCATAACTATTCTTTGTGATGAGTTTGTTTTTAAAAAGGTTAAGATCAAGTCTGTTCAAGCTGCTGTATATTATAGTAGACAAATCGCACGTCAGCTTAGTCGTCCGTGTTCATAAGCCGGGCTTCTACTTTCGAAACCCTTTTTACTGCTCAAGTGCAGTAGCGAGTCCTCTGGACTTTTCTGCTGAACGCAGCAGAAGAATGCCACTTCTTACCTCAAACTTTTATTTGGAAGTCAAGCTCGCGCCTCAATCGATCCACAGATTTTAAGTCCCGCTGCTATACCAATTTTTTAATGAGTGCATAAAGCAGGAGACCACGAAGAAAACCTTTTTGGGCGCTTTGTGCAGGTTTCTCAATTTGTTATTTGGTCATGAAGTCATGGCTACATCATGGGAACGACTAATATTCAACATACAGCATTTTATGAGCATTTTCCATCGGAATAGTTCTCACTGATAAAAAAGCCAAGCTCGAGGGTCCGGAGTTCACTTTTGTCGAAAAGGTTTATATTATGGCGCACTAGGTACTCTGAGAGCAAATCAGGAAACGGTCCTTAATGACCCTAAGCGGCTTCGGGCGCGATTGGAATTAATATTTCCTCCGAGAAATGAAATTTTCGGTGGTTTCAAACTAACTGTATCGTCATTACCTATTTCACAGTTTTCATTGTTCAGGACGAGAGAGGACCCTCATTCTGAATGACTTGAAATCACTGCAAGACCAGATCGGAGATTTAGCATTCAATAACTATCGCACGTACGCTGATGCTGGAAGGACAACACAACATTGTACAGAAATAGTGAGTCTTGCTCCCGGATCTATTCAGTGTTCTTTACATTGTTCCATTTTTTCGGATGGTAAGGAAGTCAAGAACTGTCCTCACTGATAGTCTCAGAAACAACTTTGCAGAGTTGTTGTTTCTATCACTTTTAGGGATGGGTAGGGGCAAAAATTCTTTTAATGGACCTATAGCAATCGTCGAACTTCGCAGCCAAGCTGGAGTGAGTGAGGAGGGATCTGAGCTAAGAAGGCGCATAAATTGAGCAACTCCGCTCAACTCATATGTCATCGTAATTTAGATAACCACTTCACTTACTAGGGGATCACGAAGGGGTGTAAGTGTATCTGGCCGGACATTTATAATGCTGCTCTCCTGTACCAGGACATACAAATGCGGGAAGGATGCCCCAGGACAAGTTTACGCAGACGAAGAAGGGAAGAGTCCAGCGTTGGTAGAGCGATCCGACTCGTAAATTCCATGTAACTCTTCTTAACCAGGCGAGGCACACCAATGTTTTTGGCATGCTGACTTTCTCAAATTGTGTAATGGATTACATATCAGATGCGCTTGTAATACTCTGTCAAGCGCTTCTCAACGATCGCGAACCAACTGAAGAAGTTGATTATAGCATGGTCTCCTCTTTTTTAATGGCTCATTTCAGTTCACGGAAATGAAGGACAAGTTGCGGGTCGTGTCTGCGGAGGTTCCGGAACTGGCATCGGAATTACGGACGTTTCATACTCGGACAAAGGATTTGTCACGCGAATTGGACGCGGTGCAGTCAGCCTGCCACAAAGAAAATCTCGTGTGGGAACTAATCTCGTTGCCCTCCGTGAGTTGTATAGGTCCTCTTTTTGCCCAAGATTCTTTTCATTTGAAAGATTTTTTGAAGTAATTATTTGTGCCAGAGCCCTTCATTAGTTCAATCCAAATTTTGGCGCAAAAGAATGTGTGACATTCAATGCAAATTTAACTGTTGGGGGAAACGGTTGCACGGGTCTGTAGGTGCAACACCTGTGCACGGGTGTATAGTCCTTAATTTTATGAACCTGACGGAATCTCAAGTATTTTTGAATGGAAACTTCAAATGTCTTGGTGGCTGAAGCAATAATGTTATTTGATAGGGTGAAGGAACAAAAATTACAGAGGTATGCGAGAGGAGTGGAAAGCGCAAGTTGGAGACTTTTTTTGCAGACGGGAGGCTCTCGATACATACTCCTATTATCCTATTTCTATATCGTGATATTGATCTTCTTATAGGTTTGACTTTTAGTATTTCTTCTTTCTAGAGAATGGATGTTTGTATTCGCGCAGGTTACTATGAGGCTGCATATTCCTTGACAAATTATGGAATGATGCTCCAACAACATAGCATAATTAAAAACCCTTTAATCAAGGTAGGTTGTCAATGAGGATGTTTCGGTTATACTTTGCTTTTTTTGCTTTCTTGCGCATTATTTGTATTGCATACCAAAGTGCTCCAGGCTATTGCTGATAAACTTGTTGAAGCGCGATCGTTCCTGCTCGAAGAGCTCTTCAACAAATTTGCTGGTCCTCTTGATTTGGCCTCCTCCATACAGGTTGGTCAACAAATTGTCTTGAAGTTTGGCCACACTTGTACTTCAATTGTTGGACATTTCGTTAATGTGAACTTCCAGGTAGTGAATAATGTGCGAAAAATGCCATATCTCACGCCAACGCAGTTACGTACGTGCATCTTACAACACAGAGATATGTATTTAGACAGACAAATTCTCGATATTACGGTTAGTAACTTACTTACAACCTTTTATATGTCTACGATGTTAGTTGGTGCATCCAAAAAGCAGTGTGGGAAGCTCTGTACTTTTCTGCAGCTTTGCTTAGGCAAATGTAACAGGTTCCCAGTTGCATGAAATGAAACTCTATCTTGTGTAGGCAAAATTTATCTGTGCGGGGACTATGGCAGAAATTCCCTTAAGATAGATGCACAACCATTATAATTATTTGCGCAATGGCCTAGTCTAGGTATGCCAACCACGAAAATGACTCGTGGTCCATTCCCTTCTATGCATACTGTGTATGACTTTCTCAACTCCAGCGCCTAGGTGAGCCCGATTTGTTTCATTTGTTGTTGCGGCGAGGTATGCACTACGATACGGTAAAAGGGTGGGATCAGGATTAATGATTATTAGAGAGTTTTCCCCTCGCTACCCTCATTTTAAGATTCTTCAACTCAAAGGTTGTGAAGGCCCACAGTTGCTTTGAAATATTCTACCAGGGCTTGCAGCACTCGACTATAATACTTCCATTATGTTGCAAAACTATGTCTTTTACCTCTAGAAGGCTGGGGTGTGAAAAGCAGCAGTTTGTTGTTGTAAAGAGCAGTTTTGGAATTATCCTCTATATATATAAAGCGCTAACTTTGTTTTGAGGAAAATCAGAAATCCAAGTAGTGAAACTTTCCATATATCTGAAAACGTGGAAAGTGTCATGTCAAAGGACTGTTCCGACAAGAGCACTCTTTTGTAAGCGGAAAACGGCGTAGTTCTGGCAAAAGATTAGCCTGAGGCTTTTTTTTTACCTTACTGCAAATCATATTACCAAAAATCTCTCGTTATTCTATCGTAAATTTCTTACAGAACCATCCTGAATTTGCCATCAAGGCTATTGAAATTTACCGAGACTGCATGTATGACACACTTGTTCTGTACTTGGCAGTATTTCCTGAGAACGAAGCACCACGAAAAGATGTGAGTTGGTTTGGATTTGTTCGTTTTTATTGTTTTTTTTTATTATCAGCTGTTTGATAAATTCTTTGGATTCAATATTTTATTAATTTCAATCTAATTCCAAAGACCTTACTCATTTTCCTTTGCAGCAGTGTTTACTATCGCACTACAAAGACATAATTTTTTCCTATCAATCTTCACGCCGTAAATTGCTCCTTCTAAATCTATCGTCTAATAACGTCTAGGTCAAGCATATCACCCACCTGTGAGCCGCTAAGCAGTCTCAGCTATTGGGTATCAACTATTTGACTGGTAAGGAGACAAAAAATTCAACTAAGACATTCCCTGACGTAGATGTAAGCGCAGTGTTGGAACCTAACCACTTATTGACTTTCTCGTATTATCCTTCAGTACTAATTGTAAGTAAATCTGTACCACCATCTATACAACTGGCAAACCTGGTCAAGGCAAAATTCACGCAAAGAATCGCTCTGGCGCTTGCTCAAGAGCGGAGTTAGTCGGAAGTTTCCTATGATTTTGTACATGAAGTTTTCTAATTGAATGCTAACTGCGGAAGGCATTTTTCACTTTAGAGGTACATTTAGTTGTCATTGGATCCCCGTTGGGAAACGTGGCCATCGAGTGCGCCATCGTCGATTCTCGGTCAGTGGACGGCGCGCAATATCACTAGATTGTTGGATCTTATTTGTAGAACTGATATGAAGTTGGTTGTCACTCCACTTGATTTTTTTTTTCGTAAAAGTTTTTTCTTATTGGACTTCCTTTTTAGAAGTAGTGTTGATATGTGCACGGTATGGTCAAAACTCATGTCATTGGCAGCATCTCTTGGACGTATGGGTCTCGATTTCCGCTCTCTCGTAGTTAACACCTTGGTAAAAGTCTCTCTGGAACGTTTCACTTCAGCTGTTCGGGCTGCTACTAATAAGTGAGTGTTGATTTTCTTTAAGGTTTGAGAAATAGAGACTCATTATTTCTAGTTCCATAACATGGTTTAATAGGTGTCGCATTCAATTTGACCTTTCCTTTATGGTCTCTCTGTTTACAGAAATTGTTAGATAACGGATAACCTCTCGAGTCTTTTTTACTTTGTATAGAGCATGTTCAGAAATTTTTNTTTTTCTTACCAATATTTTTTTTGTTTTTGAAAGCGTTATTGCTCAAGTCGAGGAAACTTCATTCAGCAAGAGCTTTTGTTCAGAATCCCACCATCGGGGTCATTGCTGCGGCGTGCCAGCAATTTACTACAGGCCTATGAATGCCTGCAGCGGTAATGTGCAAAGAAGTCGGATAAAATGAAATCTGATACAGCTAAGAGTTTCAACAACCTAGTTGGGGTTATCATTACAGTACGATTCTAGAAAACCATGTGAACTTAATGACCTTTGCTGCGTTGCGTTTGATGCCTAATTTCACTTAGGAATTTGATTTCAGGTTTCTCAACGAAACGAAGGTGTTGTCCGTGTCCAGTGGAGAGATTTCTTTATTATCGGATGGCGGAGGTCCAACTAGTGGGCCACCGCAACCATCGCCTGAGATCTCAATGTGGGATGATATATGTGTTTATGGGAACACTATACTGGAGGCCCTCAACAATTTGCGCTTCACTCCAAGTCCCATGCTAGTGAGTTGGCTTCGAAACTTTCGATTGCGTGTAATATTCTCCGTACCGTAACCCACAATAGCACATTGCCGTCCTACACTTTTTCCTTGCCCATTTTCTTCGGAGACGGGATTGTTTCACAAATAGATATTTAGTGCAAGCCCATCGCGAAACTGGGTTTAAACAATTCTTTGTTTAAATGTGAATGTCAAAACCATGGCAGTCCGTGGCCTAGAGGAAATACGTCCGATGAAGCAGAAACTATTTTTGACTGATCAGCTTTACATATTGTAGATATCAATGCTTTCAGATACAAAGTGTTGTATTGTGCCTACGAGACTCATTGCGAAGCATAATAATGTGGTTACTTGGTCACTCATCGTCAACGCTTTTCCCAAGAGCCGTGGAGATTTTCTGCCTACACTTTGTACCTTTCATTGGACGATGTGTCCGGTTCCTATTTCCTTTTTCGGCTATCACACGCCTGTTTGGAACATCTATTAGTCCACAGATATACGTAAGTTCAAGAATCCTGCTTTGAATACGGCTTCTCATGAGCACCAATTTTAGGAGGCGTTTACCGAGCTAGACATACGTGTATTGACCGCTTCTTGTGATGGTGGTGAAAAAATTGAAGAAGTTCTTCAGAGTTTATCATCTCAAGAGAAGTTTCTGCCTCGAGGAGAGATTGTTATTCCTCAGCAAGACAAAATCGAACCTTCACAGGAAGAAATTTCCTCTGCAGCGGTTGAATTAGACCGCCCAAAGGATTATACTCAAGATTTTTCGGACACATCTATGTGCTCACCTCCTCAGCATGATTCAAGCAACATTCGTTTTGATATAGGCGATGACCCAGATGAAGCTGGGGTGGAAAAGTCGAACATAGCTTCTGTAATTAGCCCATCAGAGGAAGAAACTGCATTGAGCCACTCTCGACAAGATCTGAGCGCAGCAGATACACAGCTATCGGTAGTTACCGATGATGATCTTCCGGCTTTGGTGGATACTGCACCTAGTCCCTTCTACGATGAAACGGAGTCTATTCCCACGCAGGAGTGTGAATCACAAAACGACACGAAGACTTCCGAGAAAAGAGAGCACTCTAAAGAAGATTAAGTCTTTTGCTGCAATATCCTGTAATTGTTTTTATTTATTCTTTGAGTCGGGTTTATGTCTGAAGATTGGATCACTTTTTTTGTCTTTAACATTCACTGGTTTGGAGTATGTGATACATATACATAGTATTATATATTTAATCAAAGAAGAGTTTTTTCTGCTTAATTTATCTTTCTATAAACTTCTAACATCTATTTGAAGGTGATGATATAGCGCTAAAGGGGGAGGGGGGGGACCATGAAGGTTTTCATTTGCCGTTAAATANAGGGGGGGGGGGGGGGGGGGACCATGAAGGTTTTCATTTGCCGTTAAATAATATTTTTGTGATAGTGTTCTTATTTCCAAGAAAGGAACAAAAAATGAAGTTGTACAGGAATTGTTGGCATAAAGGGGCTGCTGTCTTTGACGTTTAGATTTCGGCAGGAGTGCTATTTGACCAGGTGTAGATGCCATGAAAAGTTCTCCGAAGTTTAGGATAGCCAAAGAGTCAACGCTTCCCTCGTAATTCCATTAAGGAGAATCGATAATGGAGCTGACAAATGTTTTCAAACTATATGAGGTCTTGTGTAATTGTTTAGTTGGTCGTAATAATTCTTCTATACGTTAATGACTTCCTGTGTTTGATTATCGCTGGAGCATTTTCAGCAATCGTCTTCCAAGTGCTTCCCCATCCTTAACCCTTGGCGGCCATAAGCCGAACGGGAAAAGGGCAGAACAAACAAATTTCAAAGCTGAAAGGAATGATATTTCCTCAAAGGCACAATTCACGGTAAAAATGGTTACTGAGAAATCTCTTTTATGAATTTGTGACGTCCCAGTACTCCATATGTGGCACTGTCAAATCTGGAAACGTCCTAGATTGGACGTTGTGAGGGAGTAAAGATTGTATCGTCTGAATGCCACACCCATAGCAGATGAGTTTGAACAATGTTGTNTGGCTCATGGCGACAGTGGAAGATAGTCTTGAACAGTTTCAGCTTGACGTAATCAGCTCTTTGCAATTGCAACAACTGAATTCTCATCCAAGTACCCCTATACACAACTTCCGTTATTGTGATCTCGTTCAACCACTTATAACACCGTTTTGATAAAAGCATTGTTTTTCGCAAAATCGACGGATTTTCTCGCTTTCTTTGCCACCAATGCAATATTCTCTAACAATACTTCCAGGTTTCATTTTGAAAAGGATACCTCAAAATTTTAGTAAACTGCGCTTTGAATTCGCAAATATTGAAATTCTACCCATAATTGCCTTGAAAGCACAGCATGTCATTCTGCACAGGGGCGGTTCAAAAGTATTGTTACCTGGGAAAAGACATAATCCGATCAAAACTCAACTCAATGCTCGATCAAAAGCAATCAGACTTGGCCCATTGTTTGTTATGACCGGTGTGAAACAAAATTGAGAGCGATTCTCATTTGGCCTTCACGACAGCTTTCAGACGCTTAAGTTACGAGCCGATGACGGACCGCAGGTATTTGACGTCGATTTAATCCCACGTCTTCTTCAAAGCCGACTCCGGCGAGTCGATACTTGCGGCGAGTGTAGCAGGCAATCTGCCCTCACACCGACCACGCCAAGTAGTCCAATGGTTGAGGTTGGGAGAGACGGACGGCCATTCATTTTCAGGGATAAAGTCCCGAAACATTGCCGCGCATCAGGCCCGGATTTACCGCGACTTGTGCGCGGGCGCAGAAAGAAACAGTTCTGTTCTGTGTTGATGTTCACGCCGAGATCGACGAAAACGAGCGTGATGGTATGGGTTAGAGTGTGCGACAACGGAATTTTTCCGTTGTCGTACACTCTAACCCATACCATCACGCGGCAGGATGAGAGGTCCGAAAGGCGACCTCGCCTCGGAATCAGCCTGTTGGGTGGTTAACGCGGGCACCCGCTTTTGAGATATGCAAACCAGCCCGTTTGTAATACTGCTAGACGCACTTGCACCACTTGCGCCGCCACTCGCCTACCGTAATCGACGTTTCTTTTTAAATAATTCTTTGGTTTTCCCGACGACTGCGGATATTCAGGTTAGTTTATCTTGGTATTTTGATGACATAATGGACTTCGTTTTCGTTTTTAAGCTCAAATTAACTGTTTCCATTTCATTTTCATAGATAGTGATTAGAGTTTTCTTCTCAGGTTATCACTTAGTGCACTTTCACAACGAATACTTTCCGAAAAGTGTAATTAGTTAATGCTATTTTAGTGTGAAGACGAGCGGTTCTTTTCCGAAGCGCATCTGCATTAATTCATGATTAATTGGGAAGTTAATCTTGGGCTCGAGCCCAAAACGTTAGAGGGAGTTTTGTGGAAATCATTTATAGATCATGGCGACTTCTAGGTCTTTTTTGTCATCTAGTCAAGGTAACACGACTTGGAGGCTTCACCAGTGTGGGGAATCTCAAGGCATTGGCTGTCGGTCCTACAGAAAGGGCTCTTTTTACATAATCATTAAAGTAATCTAATGCCTGAGCTGTTTCATTGAGTGAAGGTTGAGCTGAGCGCTCTATGGTGTGGGCTGGTTATGCCCCTTCATATGGCTGCCCAAGCTCAGGAGCGAGGCAAGTTTTCGGTATCTTCTTCCCGGATGCTTTGATGCTTTTCTACGGTATTAGTTACCGCAACGGTTTACCTACCTCGTTGTTTTTGAAAGCGACAAGGCCGTGTGACATTGCGTTGTTCTTGTTCAATTATATGAATGTCGGCGGTTGTGTTCAGAGTGGGCAGCCCACTGGTGAAGTACTGACACTATGGAGAAGTACCCTATGGAGAAAGCCAAAGCAGCAAGGATCTTATGAATGCCAGGGTACTTGGTACTTTGAACTTCGTAATCGTACCGACAATTGTTTCGACTGCACCTATGCTTGGTCTGTGTGATTGAGCTTGTTTGCTCTTCATCTGCTCGAATTTATCAAAAATAATAAAGTGTTTAAATTTTAATTATGTTATATATGTGTTAACTATATGTTATAAGTAGTTATAACTATATGTTAACTCTAATCTTGGCGCCTAGATTTTTGTTCTCTTCATAATCAGTGCGACTCAGCAGAGCCAACTGGAAACGGTTAATTTGAGCTTAAAAACGAAAACGAAGTCCATT